ATACAAGCACAATTTCAGTCCAGGAGCCCAATCCCCTCCCCCCATCAAACAAAACACAAACCAAGTGTCTCGCACTGCGTCAAGGCATCGGGGTTACCAGTGGGCCCCATCTGGCCACTTTCTTCATCCTTGCCATATACGTGCCAGACAGCATGCACGGATGCAGCATCCGGCCGGCAGCAAAACACAACAATCATTAGCAAGACAAGCGTCCCTTGTCCGTTTCGCCAGAGAAGCGTGGAAAGCATCTATACGATGCACATCATCTAGCGAAAGGTCCTTGCACAAGCCCCCGAGCCACTGCTTGTGGTTGCTCCACAAGCACGTGGGCCTCTCCCAGTTGGAGCCGAATGCCCCCATCTTTATGTGGATCTTGTAGACCTCCGCACGGAGGCATGGGATGCGTGCAGTGCAAACATTTCAAGAACAGACACGAGACGGAGTATCAGAGGATCGCACCTTTGACCCCTGCGAAATATGTTGCCATCGTTTGCTCTTGAAGAGGTACACTCCCCTGTAATGCGGTTGGTCCAGCAATATGTATGCGCCCGCAGCACGAGCAGCATGCCAAAGCAGACACATCCTTGGTTGTCGTTGTCGCGGCTCGGCAAAGTTGATCACACACAGCAGAATTACCCGAACAATTTCTGCATATGCCTCTCAAACGAAATATGTGCAATTAGGCGTCCTGGCAGAGATGAGGCTGCCCTCGGAAGCCTTGGGGAACTGTTGTACTCCCTCTTGTCGAAGCAAGCATCTGTCGACTCGCGATAGGCAAGAATAAGAACCTCAAGTGTGTGGCACGAGAGTAGATCAGCGGCCAGAAATAGACATGTCTAAGCTTTGTCCAATGACAGCTTCGAAAGATATATAATAAGTTATATTCTCTTCTATCTGATCAGGGTATATAGTATTATGTATGTGTGTATATATATATATACATATTACATTTCAAGACAAATGTACGTGCACCTGCAGCCTTGTCACAAGGTGGCCTCGCCACAAGCAAGCCCCCATGTTGCATGCGAAGCACACACAGAAGTGAAGCCCTGAGGTCACACTTGCAACATGAACACGAAAGCCTCCTGTCGACGGCACATGTGGCAAAAGACTGAGACATGCTGCGAAGTGACAGGAAGCCAACAGGACTCAGCACGTTCATAGCATCATCTCTGCTGGAGTCCAGGGCAGCGGTTTGGAATCCACGTCGATCCGCCTCACGTACCACAGCCTCAGACCATGTGCTCAACAACACATGCACACAGAATGCTCCTCATGCATGTAGACCTAGTCAAAAGCAGAGAGGCGTGCACACGAACACATCCAACAGGTGGCTCACGAACGGGACATAATTCGAGGGACCCCAAGTCCAGCGAACAACTCCAGCACGGCAATATCCCGGAGCTCCAGTTCCTCGGACAACAGGTTGGCAATGCTGTTCCCATGCAAAGCCATGTATACTTCAACAGAATCCATGCAGCGAAGATTCAAACTGGGAACAGCAGGAGAGGAGGTAGCATGTGAGAATGAGCACCCGGGGAATTCCCATGCCCAACATGGCCGCCACATCGGGCCGCCATACCATTGCTTTGGTCAGGAATTCACGTTCGTCTAATGCGGAGTCTGTGGCAGGATGCCTCATGCAACCTATGTTGAGCATGTTTATACACTGTGCACATGAATCGCCCAGGCAGCATCGCAACAGCTTTGCACAATCTGTCTATGTATACATGCGAAGGATCCTGGAAACATAATGCACAGCGTATACATGAGCATTCAAAAGACACACACGTACACAGGCAGAGACACTCGCACACGAGCACTCCGATGGGGCATTTCGGCGCACATGTGGATCGAAAGATCAGGCAGCCCCGCCACGAGATATTCCCCTGCATGCACCATGAGCTGCAGCATAGAATGATTGAACTCGATCCAGTCCAGACACCCAAAATACCCGGCCTGCGGAACCCTCAAGAGGAGTCCAGCAACACACCCGTACAGGCATGTCGTACATGCCCGCAACCCAGTCGAAAAAGTCCGTCCTGCGAGAAGTCAACATCTGAAAAACTAGCAGGACATATAGGCGACTGGAGCAAACACCTCAGAGCTCGAAGCGACCCTTCTTGCGTTGCTTCTCGCTCATGGCTTCGATCATCGACCTGCAGCAATATTCACGAGGATCCGGTCGCCTCTCTGAGTTAACACGTGCCTCCGCAGGTTGCTCACCCGCCACATCTGGGCCGCAGCCCCCATGGAATAGCCATCCTTCAGGCACTCGGAGCAAAACGCTCGGTAGGCGATCATCATGGGGTTGTTGACACCGCCACTTGACTTGTCCTGCAGCATGCAATCGCAGAAAAATGGTCAATCGTGCAAGCCGGGCTGGGCATCCTCAGCGGCCTCTGCATTCACACTCGCTGCAGCTCGCTTCTTTTTTTGATTCGGTGCCTGCAATCAAGGCGGATGGCAGCGTACAGTAGGATATACAGCCCAGCCATTAATAAGGCTGGTCACAGCCTTCTTGCATCCAGCACTCGGCTGCTCGATGCCAGGAGCTGCAGAGGCCTCCATGCATCAAGATTGTTTTTCGTGTCTCAAACGGTGAGCCCTGCCTCGGCATTAACGACAGCCGGTGCAGCGACCGGAACGTCCTCCCAGGCAATGCCGCACATTCACAAGCGACTTTAAATTGTGTAGTGTGAATAAGTACATGCATGCACCCACGGAATTCCTGATCAGAAGATGCAGCAGGAGCATCTTTCTGGTGCGACGGAGGCATTGCAGAGACCTCTGCATGCATCTTATATATATATGTACACACATATGCACTTGCAGGTTTTTCTCACCTAGCAGAAACAACGGCACCTCGGCTGCGGAAGCATATGACTTCTCGATCAACTCCTGCATGGAATCAGCAAAATGATTTAAGATCAACAGTGACAGCTGACACGGATCCTCCAACTGCTGTTCCAAGTCATCCTGTTGCTCCTGCAAGCACACATATACACGTCTGGGAAACAGAATGAGCTCAACACTGCAAAAATTCACAATCGAGCCTCATTATCGTCTTGTCCAGGGGACAGACCTGCACTCCATGCCCATGCATTGCACCGTGGAAGAATCTGCGTGAGGAGCATGGGTTGGGTTCATCCATAATCACGCAAAAAGCGATCCTTCGGCATCTGGAGCAGGCACTGCTTCAGCATCGCCAGCGATGTTGGAGGCTAGCAGATCCATCTCTCCTGCTGCAGCAAAATTAATTGATGTTGAAAGGTTGGTGCCACAGGGTACACATCCATCATGTGAATTAATTAGTATATCGAGTTCCTGCGTCATGTCTGGAGACGAGGTTTCGGAAGGGCTTCTTGTACTGAAGATGGTGCGGGAAAGCAAGTTCTGGGGCCGTCTCCAATTTAAGCAACACCTCTGCAAGGCAATGCGGTGCTGCAACGGCCGGGATGCTTCCTTCGTTGACCGGCTGAGTCTCCATGGCATCTGGATTGATGCCTTTCAAAGAAGGCTTCCTCTTCGTTGTCGACAGCAGCTTCGGCCCACAGCAGGCCTGCAGCATAGCAGCCGTGTCACGTGCTATTTGCATGCGTGCACACCCTGAGAAATAGCCCACCTTCAGTCGGACCATGACGGGTGCCGGGCTTTTCTTGGACTTCTTCGCCAAGCGGATGACATACTGAGATTGCCCCTTCAAAGCACAAGCTTGAGCATGTTGGAGATCTCCCGGGACGTCGGGGTTCTTTTGCTTGAGGGCTTCCTCCAGGTGGTCCAGGTTATACACGGAACCCTTGTTTTCGAAGCATCGCAAAGACCTGCGAGGAACACTGCTTTCAGGGAATTAAGACACACAAGCATGACGACGAAAGACACGGCGTGCAAGCGAGCATCGGTCCCAGCACATGTTCATTGAGCTTCAGCTGATCCATCTTCTCCTGAAAGTCGTCCTTATCATCCTTGGTGTCCTCCTCCTGGTCCTGGTTGTCCTCCTTGTTGTTATCGGAGTCATCCGGCGGCAGCTTGATGAAATCCTGATGATGCATCATGTGCACAAAGCATGCGTGGATCCACAACCCCCCCGTCCCACCAACATGTCTGACATGGCATGTGTCGATCCTCACAGGAGTCGAGGTCTTTCCAGGCCGCGAGGAGGTCATCGATGAGTTTTTTATTGTGCTTCGGCATGCCGCTAGCAGCGAAAAGAGAACTCTCCGGGGCCCCGGATATAAACAACACACTGCATAATGCACGACATGAGCTGCTGCTTCTAATCAGCCAGGTGCATGCAAGTCAATCTGGCCCCTAGCACTGAAACAGCGAGGGTGCATGAAAGTGCAACGTGATCACGACTGCAGACTGAATCGGGACAACCAACCCATCATGAATGCCTGTAAATTTAACAGGAGACACGATCGATCGCAGCGTCCTTTCTCGCGGGATGTCGAAGGCAGTCGGACCCGGAATTAACCATCCAACATTGAAGGTCAACGTCGCCATCGATCCAGCCTGCAACCAAGATGGCAAACACAATAAGCTGCGACAATAAATCTTCTTAGAATACATCGGTCCTGGACCCAGCCACAACGACCGGCAGCTTCCAACCAATCCAAAATCCACATGGCCGGGAATCCTGGGCTTCATTTAATTTTCGCACACGAACCTCGCATGCACTGTGGCTTTCACGGGAGGGCACAGACTTTCTTTCAAGACCGGAGGCGGCCAAGCAATAGCCAAAATCGTGGAAGTTTATAAGAAAACCTCAGTTACAAGCAAAGCCAAAAGCCGAAGCACAAGAGTTGCATGCCAAGCCGCCCAACATAGCCATGACCAGATCAAAATTTGGATGCCAGCACTGCAGTCCTGCACGGCGATGATTTGGGATTCATGCGCCGAGGTCGAGGATCCTACACTTAAACCAGGAATCGCGAGGCCGCCGAGCAATGCAATCCTTTTCTGCGAGCCACCATGCTGTCGCACTGCCCTATACAGCCCTAGGATGACTCTTCATCCCAACCGCGTGCAATTCTCGCACGAAGCTTCTCCAAATTGGCTTCCCTGCGCTGCTGAATCTGCATGTCCTCGAGCACAATGTCTAAGCCAGTTTTCTCGGGCCATGGCTGTCCGTCCTTGATGTTCTTCAACAAGTGCGGGTCTGCATCCGAAGTGTCTGCATCCGAATCGCTCTGCACTTGAGCCATTGAGGGCTTCTTGATGGCCGACTTCATGGCCTTGGTGGCTTTCATCGACTTCATGGCCTCTGTGGCTTTCATCGTCTTCATGGCCTTGGTCGTCTTCATGGCCTTGGTGGCTTTCATCGTCTTCATGGCCTTGGCGGCTTTCATCGTCTTCATGGCCTTGGCGGCTTTCATCGTCTTCATGGCCTTGGGGGCTTTCATCTTGCCACCATGTGCTGCTGCAGGTCGCTTCATCGCAATCTCTGCTGCAGCTATATAGCGAGATGAATCAAAGCAGGATCTCGAGTTATGTCATTGCACGCCTGCAATGCACCGTCTAGACTATCATGACCTACTATTCTGGCCACGCATGCCATGAGTGCACATCATGCATGGTTCCATGCTTCAGGGAAGGCTTCGGCTCGATCCATCAAGAGTGCACGGAGAAAGTGCATGCAAGATGCGAATGATACCCCGAATCCAAAAATCAGATGCACCGATTATGGTCACCAATCTTTGAATATGCAAAACAGCATGCACATGCATTCTGTCCTCAGTCCACACAGACAGCCCGAACCATCGCGCCAACATCATTCCGGCCTTGCTCAAAAGCCATGCGCCCCACAAGTTTGCAACCCATGCAACATGATGAATCGCCAGACATTAGCCAAGCTTCTTGTGAGCCTCCAAGAAATTCTCCATCAATTCCTGAAGCTCCAGTTTCTCAGCAGGCCTCGGCTTCAGAATGGGTTTGCCAATCTTTAATGCATGCATTTCAACGCATGTATACACCCCTGCAATGAAACTCAGGTAAATGCACACAAGCCACGTAAGCACCGACATAGAGCGAAGCTGGATGTGCTCGTGCATGTAGATCATCATGTCGGTCATATGCACATGAAGCAATTCCAGGCGAATGCCTTGATTAGACTTGAGGAAGGGGGCAAAACAGACATGCATGACGAAGAAATCATCACCGCACCATTTGGGTCTAGTGGCGTACCTCTTCTACATCCGGAAGATTGTCCAAGAGCTTCCGCACAAGTTCAACGCTTGAATTGAAACGACAGAACAGGAGCTGCTCTTGCTCCATCGTCCATCTTTCCAACAGTTTGGCCACAGGCAGACGATCGGGTTTTGCCTTTTCGAAGACCGCCAGCTGGGGGAGCTTGGCTGGCCAGGGAAAGTTTCCGGTCTCCACATCTGCACGGGAGAAAGCTTCTATGCACAATGTAAGTACACATTTCCACCAGCACAATAAATCGCAAATCTCGGTCCACACAGACAAATCCTGCATTGCATCCACACAGTCCCGCAGGACTGTCATCTCTGAGCAAGCCAGCTGCTTGACATTGGACACGCTAAGACCGCATACCAGGATAACTGCAGCTGACAAGGCTCGGCAGCAATCCATGCGATCCATGGCTTCTTCGATCAGTGCGCAAAACCCCTGTTTGCGAGAGATGGAGCAAAGCAAATATATGCTGTGATGCCAGTGCTGCTTTCATGCAGGAAGCAGTGCATTGCAAGCCGCTGAGATTTCTGCGTCATATGTCATGTGTTGCGTGCAAGCAGACATCACAGCGGACATGCAATGCCAACACTGCAGGAGTGCACAAGCAGCGCCTGTCTCAATGGATAGATAGGAAGAGCCATCGAAGGATCAAAAAGCAACATCGCTATGAATGCTTGGCTGCCACAAACCAGATATATCTGCCAAAGCAAACTGTGGAACCCCGTTGTCCGCACATATTCTGAGGATCGGTCTTCTTTGTGACCATCGAATGAAAAATCGAGGAGCGAGAAAAAGAGATCGATCGAATGGAAAGAAGGAGTCGAGATATGGAAAACTATCTATATATATATATATATATTTATATTTATATGTACGTGTGTGTATACATATATATATATACATATATATGTGTGTGTGTGTACTATGGGGTCTTTAAGGTGGTCAAAGATTTTTTGCACACACGCATTTGAGCCACTTAAGGTATTAAGGTTTTTCTCTCCGCACGCAGAAAGTTGCACCAATTTGAGCCAAAACTATAGCAATTTGAGCCAAATCTACATCATGGGGATGATTTTGTACATAGATACAAGTGAAACACGAATCCACATCCTGGGATTCTGAGCGCAAATTCACATCGCGGACCCCTTCGCCGGAAAAGAAGCGCCCGGGAACAATTTTTAAACACGGGTCGCCCTGTTCCCGAGAAAATTTGCGCCCGGGGACAAATTCCTCCAGGAACAAGCCAAACCTGTTTTTGAAATTTGTTCCCGCGCGAATTTGCGCCCAGGGACAAATTTGGCCAGGAACAGTCCTCCAGGTGTGGCGGTAAATTGCGAGCGACGTATGTCGCAGGCTACCCTCCTGACTGCTAGCCGGAAGGCGACAGATGCATGAGGCGGAGCGGTTCATAGCAACTAGCAAGGCAGATCAATACCCGCTAGGTAAGGCGCCCAGGGGCGAGCGACCACCAGACGCTCGGCAGCCAACACCTCCAGCGAACAGCGGAGGTTGAGCGACCACTGTCTCATGTCCATTGCAGAAGGGACTGGGCCACATAGGCCTGTCCCCGCACCACCTAGCAGGTGGACACAGCAATCGCAGAGGCTGATGCGGAAGGGGCACAGCCTCCCTGCCTCGCAGCCAGGAACCTGACAAGCAAGAAATGCAAAAAGGCAGATGGCGTATGCCAGCCGCTGAGAGAGCCGAGGGGCGGCGAACGCACCTTTTGTGAACGCAGGCCCCCCTCCCATACACTGCACAACGAAAAATTGCCTAGCATGTGTCACCTCACTAGAAGGTGCAGATGAAGGCAAATTAATGCAGCGCTAGGCATGGCTCAGACAGCAACAATTAGGCCGGGGCCCGAAATAGTTCGCCTCCTGGCCAAAGGGCCATCATGCCGGTGCCGATTGACAGCGAACTGGCAACGCAGGAGGGCCTTGCGAAATTCATAAGCGAGCAGATGGCGTATGTCAGCCGCGGCTCAGTATGACGTGGGTGCGTTTCCAGGCCATCCAGGCCCTCCCCCCCCCCCCCTGCGGCGCTGGTACCCCTTAACGGAGAAGCGTCGGAGGGCCGGCGACCGACCCCCCCCCCGCCTAAGGCGGCTGGGTGTCCAACGTGGCCAAGCTGCTGCCTACGGGTAATGTACTTGTAGGAGCAAGTGGGTCAGACTGGATGTGCAAGGACGCTCCCGGCTGCAGCGTGATGCACCACGATCCTTGGAGCTCCAAAATCATGTCCAAAGGGGGCTGCCTACAGGACTCACTCCTGCTACAAGCTCCCTGACGGACGTCAGCGGGGCCACATGCTCGACGTGAGGGCGTCGACCGCTTGGCCGACATCCTGGCACTTCTGACTGCGAATGATGTAGCCTGCCCACCTGAGCCGCCGGGCGCCCGCAGGATAAGTTGGACAGGTCCAGAAGGCCTCGCTGGTGTGAGCAAGGCATTTGCGATCAAAGGATCTTGGGTTTCTGATCGCTGCTGGGGAGACCGCGTGGATGGGGGGGGAACGCCAGGCACGCGGAGGCCTGTGGGACGGCCGGTGCCCTGGGCATTGCCTTGTTTGCGTGCGCCTGCCCCCTCCCCCGGGGGTTTACCCTGCTTACAGCGGATTCGTCCACCTATCGGCACACCAGGTTTGGTAGTGTGCCGCGGCGCCATGCAACTGAAATCCAGGAGCTAGGCGCTGCTTGGTGCCTAAACAACTGCCAACGGCTTACAGATTGAGGCGGGCTAAAATACCAGAGGCTGAGGTTCCGGCCGGGGCCTCAAACGCCAGCGTTCTTTCCCTGCCCCCCCCTCCCCTGCAGCCGGCCGTGACCTAGGCATGTTGAGCCAATTAAAAGCGGCAGCAATAGAGAGGTGTCAGTCCAAGTGCAAGCTGCCCGTGCTGAACATGAGACATGGCATGAAAATGCACGGATACAGCAAGGACGGTTTTGGAGCACTGGCCACCTTGGGTATGGGCCAGCCGTCTACTTAAGTGGGTTCCCCTCCTCAGGAAGCCTGCTTAAAGGTTGTCCGGATGTCTCTGTACCCAGCATTGGATGCAAAACAAAGCAAACCAATTACTGTCAGCAAGGAGCTGGGGCACCATCTCAGACGCAAACAGGATCGCCTCGTGGTGTGGGACATTATCCACACATCGTAAAAGAAGGGCAGCCACTCGGCAGGGGTCGCGACCATAGCCGGACCGGTAGAACGAACTAGCTATTACAGACTGCAAATCACCCAACCGGACTCCCAGGCCGGCTCCGTACTCCAATAGCAACGTCACAAGTGCGGCATTACGAAGCGCCGCAGCGACCTTTAAGGGGGACGGCCCATGTTCACCTGTAAAGTGGACATCCGCCTGCACTTCAAGTAGCTGGACAACAGCTGCCGAGGAGCCAAGGCGGATGGCATAGTGCAGGGGGACAGTCGGGCGGGCGCGGGAGTTCAAAGCTGGTGCATTGGGCGAAGCCCGCGCGAGTAACAGAGTGGCCAGTGCCCCACCAAGTTGGCGACTGATAGCGTAGAATGTGGGGAGGCCAAATTCGCCCCATACCGTGGGTTCATGCAGTTCCAGCAAGCAAGGGTGGAGTGCCAATGTGCGCGTGGCCGTGGCGAGACTGCCACTAGCGAGAGCGCGTCGGAGGCCCAGGGCCTGTGACGGTCGGTTGAATCTGTAAATGATGGAGAATGGAGACTTCATCCTCCGACTCGTAGGCCACTAACCCAGCTATAGGCCATTGCAGGTAATGCAAAATGAGGCTGGCATGGTCCTCCCCAGCCTCGCTATTAATCACGCGGCCGCTGAGAGCAAATCGTACCGTGAGTAGAGGTGGGTAGACCCCAGCCGCGCGAGGGACTTCATAGCCGTAAAGGCGAAAGGTTCGCAGGATGTCGTCATCCACCCACTGACAGGCTAAGGCAAAGGGCGTTAGCCCGCGCAAACTGCCAGAACGTGCGGCTAAATGCGGGCACGCCTGCGCATTGAGCAAGACATTCACCATAGTACGATGGCCCCGGGCGACAGCCAACAGCAAGGGGCTGTAACCAGTAGGGGGATCCAGCGCTGCCCATGCCTGCAGAAGAAGGGCGGTGCAAGAGTGTGCATTGGCGAGCACTGAAAATGCTAGGGGCGTATGCCCCCGCATGTCAGGTGTGTTGGCACTGGCCCGTAAGGCGAGCAAAGCCGCCAAACAGCCTGATGGCAGATCAATGACCTGCGCCACCATGGGCGCCCGGTACGAGGCATCATCACGGGTAGGGAGAAAGCGATGCGCAGAGAGGCGCCAAAGGCGAAGCAGGGCGGCGAGCACCACAAAATGGTCCTCGAGTATACATCGAAGCGTATCATCCCATATTTCGTCCTCAAGCGGAGGGATATCCGGATGCATCAGTACCTCCAGCGCCGCTTGGTCTACTGACCCATCGCAGTGGCGAGGGATTGGGCATAATGGCATGAACAAAGGCGTTATTTTCCAACGAAACTTCCGTTAGCGCGCGTTTGGGAAACCCTAACTGCGCTGCAGAGGAACCCTGTGCAAAAACACTCTCTTTTTTCTCCTAGCGGACATGGGGGGTTGGTTCGGGCCCGATCTTCGGGCACTGACGAAACGATGCCACTGGCATCTCGATTCAAAACTCGACCGCTGGTCGATGGTAAGGCGAACGACTGGTTCACCCCCCCCTACCAGGGAAAAACCCGTACCACGGGAAGATAAGGTGAAACATTCTCTGACCTACTGGGTCACTGCAGCTACAAGTTGCTACTCTGTAGTCTGACGGCCTACGGCCTATGTACAAGAGCGCACTCTGTGCTTACGCCTCTCTGCGAGAGAGAACATAGGAGCGCTGCTCCTGGCAGCTCTGCTGCCGAAGCGGTGTCCCGGACCCCGCATACTATACAGGGTGTGGTGGGTGGGACAAAAACTTTTTGGATCACAGATCCAACTCCAAGCCGAAAGCTGCACGGCAAAGTATGTCTAGTGTCACTCACACACAAGTGAAAACACTGTTTTCCTTTTTCGACAAACTTTGTCTACACTTTCGGCGGAAAATAAAACCCATTCACGCACGCATGATGGATGCTTATTTTCCAACGAAACTTCCGTTAGCGCGCGTTTGGGAAACCCTAACTGCGCTGCAGAGGAACCCTGTGCAAAAACACTCTCTTTTTTCTCCTAGCGGACATGGGGGGTCAGTTCGGGCCCGATCTTCGGGCACTGACGAAACGATGCCACTGGCATCTCGATTCAAAACTCGACCGCTGGTCGATGGTAAGGCGAACGACTGGTTCACCCCCCTTGAAGGCACTCGAAGCCTTACTCACCCCCCATCTAGTCCGCGCCGAGTGACAAAGCCAACGGCACTGCGTTGGGAGGCAGGTATTGGCGCGCTGCGCCTAGCCTCTCGGTC